ATACTCATCCTCATACTCATACTCATATTAATACTGGTATTAGTATTTGTATTTTTTCAGGGGCCTTCATATTATGATTCAAGATGTAGTCCCTCAATCAACGGGTATTCTTCTCTCTGGGAAGCTGTTGTTTCTGTTTGGGGTGCGGGGGGTTAGGGGGTTTAGGGATTTAGGGTCCGGGGTTGAAGGCTGGAGGGGGGTGGGGGTCTCTAGACTTTTGGGGCTCGGGGGTGCCTCAACATACTAGGGGCTTAGGGTTGAAGGTTTTGGGATTCAGGGGTTCGGGGTATTTGGGGTTTTTTCTGTCGCCGTCCGTTCGTATTTTGAGTGGATTTCTCGTGGGAGTTGGAAGTTTTGCTTTCAGGTTTTGTAAGACACGACAGTTTTTTGTCAGGGTTCCGTATCGTGGATTCCTGGATAGTTTTACTTTTAAGAGTTTGTGCTTGCAGCGATTCTTGTTCGGTGTTTCAAGAAGGAGGGCTTGTTTAGGGCTTGGGTTTGTTGATGTGGGAGTGATGATAGGGTGCTTTGGTCAACCTGTTCGGGGCCCTTCGGGTTTAGGGATGCAGGCTTCAGGGTTTAAATTCTTGCATCTTAGGATCTAGGGTTTAGGGTCAGGTGGTTGTCCTGTGAGCCTCATGACTATGCTCGCACTATTTATGTGTCGGGCTCGAAGATCTTTCGTTCATCTACCTCCCCTAAACCCTAAACCCTAAACCCTTTTCCCACACGGTTTAGGGTAAAGTGTAGGGCTCTTAGCGGTTTAGGGCCTTAGGGTTGACTGGGTTTGAGGGCTTTTCTTGGAGGTTCATGGGTGGTCATAAGTAGGGTTATAAGTAGGGTAGCTATAACTATAACCCAGGTTAGGGGACTTATAACGCCCAATATATCTACCCATGAACCTCCAAGTAGGCTTTAGGATCTAGGGCTTTGGGACTTGTCTAGGGCTGAGCCTTTTTTAGAGTTCCAGGGTTGATAAGGGTGATGAGGTTACAAGGACAGGCTTGGTGGAAACTCCTTAGGCCCGCAGCCTTAACCCGAGTGTTCGAAATATGCTTATAGCATGGTGGGTTTAGGGTTTAGGATATAGGGTTTAGGGTTTAGGGTTTAGGGTAACCCTGGCCTCAGTGTCTAGGCTATAGAAAGCCTTGAAGCGGGGACAGTTCGCAGATATTTGCCACGATTTGGATATTACAATTGTATGAAGGAGACCCCTATACTACCGTCTTTGTTTTTTTTCAATTTTCGTGGTCCGCAATTCATAAGGAATGCCCTGCACACTCTAGGTGGAGCCGCGGTGTCAAGGTGGCCCGACGATCACAGGTGAGCTTGGCTCTCTCTTTGTTAGCATTTGGGGATCTAAACTTTTGGGATGTCTTCATTCTACGTATAAAGCTCTAAACCCGAAGCCCCCAAACCTCTGAATCTCAGATGCTGGACCCTTGACCCTAACCGCCAAGCCCATAGCCCCAGACCCTAAAGGTAACCTTTTGGAGGGTTCAGAAGCCAGCCAGGTGAGGCTGTATATGTAGGAGCCTCAACCATTCCCGTTTGTTCCTTTAGGCTTTACACAAGCATGGTCCCAAAGCCCTCTTCCAGTTATTGAGGTGCCCACGTCAGAACCCTAAACCCTAAATCTTTGATAGAACCCTTCTTAAAGGAACCGTTTAGAGGCCCCAAGATGACAGAATCCTCATAGTATCCCTTAGAGGGCCCTTTTCAAGGGAACCCTTTACCGGAGCCCCTTTTTCAAGTTACCAGGGCCCATCTATTTTCCAGGTTTGGGCTTCAAGACTCAAAAAAAAGCTAAGTACCCTAAACCCTAAACCCTAAACCCATACCCCTGAACCCCGAAGTTTCAAGCCCTTTGGCAGCGCATCAGTGCGCTGTGGTCAACACAACTTCGTCACACGATACAGTCGCCCCCCCCCCCCGTGCTATTCCACAGCAAACCCTAAACGCAATTCCTAAACCCTAAACCCTAAACCCCAAGCCCAAACCCGAAAGCCTAAACCCTAAACCCTAAACCCTAAACCCCAAGCCCAAACCTCAAAGCCTAAACGGTTTATTGTTGAGGGAATACGGATGGGTTTTTTAGGTATACTCTGGTAGAAGCAAAGGATGGTTTCAGAGGGTCCAGTTAGGCTTTAAACTGCAACCCTTTTCGATTTGTTAAGGCCCCTCCAACCGAACCGTGAGCCCCCGAAGTCCTAAACGCTAAGTTTAGGGTTTAGGGTTTAGGGTTCTGGGTTGAGCCCTTAACCCCAAAGCCGACACCCTAAGCCCTAAATCGGGCTGGCAGATGAACCCTAAACCCTAAACCCTAAACCCTAAACCCTGGGTGACAGAAAAGGCCCTTAAAAAAAACCTAAACCCTAAACCCAAAACCCGAAACCCTAAAGCCCTTACACAATTGGCCAGAGGTCTCAGCAGCTGGCCGAGCCACGACGGCACATTGATCTATCGGTTTAGGGTTAAGGGTTTAGGGTCTAGCCAGGACGACGATTCCACGTCCGGCACTCGGCGGACGGCCACGGCAGGTCTGTACAAATGGGTATTGATGTTGTAGCTATGTAGGTACACATGCACGTGTGCCAGCTTGGAGAAGCCAAGCAGCCGTTTCACGCCGTTGGCCCCCCATGGACATCACCGACGGAGTCCCGGCGGATGGGATGCAACACTTCGCAGCCAATGGCATCGTTCACTGCGAGTTCGCGAGTCCAAATCGCCCCGTGCCTGCATGGACGTGTACTTCCAGGGGGAGGGCCAGCAGCTAGTGGAGATGTGGGGAAGGATAAACGCTAAACCTCAGCCCTAAATCCTAAACCCCAAACCCCTAAACCTCTCAACCCCTGAGCCCTAAACCCTTCAAGCCCTAAACCCTAGGCCCTGAGCCCTAAACCCTGTACCCCTAAAAAACCCTAAACCGTAAACTCCAAACCCCAAACCCTAAACCCTAAACTCTAAACCCTGTACCCTGTACCCTTTAAAAACCCTCCACCCCAAGCTCCCCAGATGACACAGGCACGTCCGTCGCGAGGTCCGCAAAGGTTGACCGGTGCACCGCCGACTTGAGCCTGGAGGCCAGGGCTCTTCCTTTCAGGGGTCCTTTAAGGTGTTTAGGGTGTAGGGTTCAGGGTTTAGGGTTAAGGGTTAAGGGTTAAGGGTTTAGGAGGGTTTA